GGCGATGCAGCTATTATTTACAACTATCGCGGCGCAGCGACGACGGAGGCAGAAAGGCACAACGTTTTCGAGATCGATACTTCGCGAGCCTCTTCCTGAGGGGTAACGTAGAATCGATCTGCTCGGTATGTACCAGAGAGAGCACGCGAGGAGCCACGTGAAAAGAATTTGCATCGTGGCCTTTCCTTTGTCTTCACGTCGCTTCGATTTGCGCGCGTGACTCGCGCTCGTGAAACAAACTTCCGCGGCCTCTTAACGCGCCAAAAATACCAGCTGATCCGTGTCTTCACCGCGAATCCCAGCTCGTTTTCTCGCGCAACCGCCGGATTATTCTTCACCTTCCTCCTCAACGTCCTTTGTCCGATTCGCCGACCGAATTCCACGGATTGTTCGCCGAGTGTTGTGGAAACTGCACGCGAAGACAGCTCGAGAACGCGACATTATCATGCAAAGATACCTCGACTCGAGCTCCAGATACCTGCAGTTTTCGTCTCTTTCTCGGAGAGAAGCTGTGCACGCAACCAAATGAAATTGATGATCCAAGTTTAGCGGGGACACCGCCTCGAGAAATCTTCGCGTGAGTTCCTCCGCGGTAAGCCCGAGGAATTGCCCTGGCAAATTGTTTCTCCTCGGTTCTTAAGCATCGCTACTACTGGGATGCAAAGTGTTCTCGGAACAACTCGTCGAAACGGTTTTCTCTATTTCTCCTCCACGGTAGGTATTTAATATTTCGTTTGTTCACTTTGTTACGAAGATGTTATGGGTTCTACTTGGTGAAGCTGACACCTTGTGTAACTGGTGGAAAAAGTGGTTAAACGGTGGCTAGAATTTATCGAATCTACACGGAGTAGTCGAACGAAGAGGGCGGAGGGAACAGGAAACGATCGTGTTTGCCACGCGAACGTTCCGCGTTTCCACCATATCCGCTACGATTTTCCCATGAACGACGTTCGTTCGCCTCGAGTATATTTATGCCAATTGGTAATTAACGGAAGAGGACGAAAAATAAGGAGGCGGGTTCGTTGCACCGAGCACGCTGCTGTTCTGTTGTATATGTTCGCGGGACGTGAATGGGAAACTTCATGACGAATCGAACAGGAAGACAACGGTATCTCTATTTCTTGAGAAGGATGTTGACTTTGACGAGGTGACCTGGGAGAAGTAGAATCGTGGGAATTGTGGAGGAATTAAGGATGTCGCCCACTTATGAGTACGAACGATATCGGGCTGACATGAACGTGTTAGATATGAACGCGACTAGTTAACTATAGGAGCGTAACATTGACACTCTTTTGTAGCGCCTCGATAGCGGGGAAATTCTCGGTGTGAATATTTTGCAGATTAGGGGACGATTTTAGGTGAGACTGTGTGCTGATTCTGCGGTGGAGAATTGTGCTGTTACGTGGACGACAAGTCCAGGGAAGGTAAAGGGAAATGTGTAGAAATTGGTAAAGGGAGTGAGACGAATAACGACATCTCGATTGAACACGATTGTAAACTTTGCAATGCGGGGATTAACGAGTGGAAAATAGGTCCAGCTTCCTTCAAGAAGACAACGAAACTCTTGGAAACCTTTTCCTCTAATTCGATACCGTTTCGTCAGAAAAATAAAGTTGATTTGTACAGACGTTGTGCTGTTAAGTGAACGGTGGTCTTTAAATGCGCAGAGAAAATAGTAACTTTTGAGAAATTTATTTTATTTGTTTTAATTTTACAAAGTAATTCGGTGCCTCTCTTTACAAAGTCTTCGCGACTTTGTCAGTTGAAAACCGCCATGTTTTTTTAGAGAGGGAATTCGTCGGTTACCCAATAAATAGAAGAATGGTCATCCGAAATAAAGGAAATTACTTTGAACATTAAAATTCGAAGTTTGCGCGAAAAGAAGTAGAAATTAACGAAGGACATCTTGAACGTACCTAATTACAAACTTCGCAATACCGAGATGCAAGAATAAAAAATTCTCCAAAACCCAAATCACGATGGATGACGAAAATTCGTGGAAAACCTTTCCCTATGACACGTTTAAAACAAAACCTAAATACTCGCTGTGCACTGAACAAAACAACGCTGGCATAAAAATCACTTCTGCTGCATTCTGGTGTTGCCCGACTTTCAGTCGACAGCGATATTTAATTCGTGAATTGCACAAATGAATTAATAAATTCTATGCATTAGGTAAATGAGTGACCGTACAGAGAAAACAACAGTCTCCCTCAAACCCAAATATTCTTCCCCACAGTAAATATCCGAAAGCTAACAAAGAACGTAAGACTAAGAATGCCATCTTGCTCGAACAAATAGAAGAACGAAAAATAAGTAAAACCCAACTCTCACCTTTCCCCAAAAACTCCAAAAGAACCTAAACCGAAAATCTGCCTCGATCTCCACCAGACAATCCTCCATACGTAATCATGCTCGATCCACAAGGCGGCAGAAGACTCGAGAAACCTCGCTGTACCTGAATCCAGAAACGGTGGCAGAATAGATGTGAGTATTGGAAGTATCGAGGCAGGCTAATCGTAGGAATCGGCGATTCCGGAGCGTAGCCGGCATCCGACATCGACATCCGATTCGGGAATTAATCGATCCGGTCCGCGGAAAGGACAAAGAGCGTGGCGTGCTTGGCTCGGCTTGGCTCGGCGGCGAAGGCGGAAGGGCTTGTGTAGCGGCGTGGGCGACGACGAACGCTAGGTTGGACAGATCGGTGGGCGTCCACCGGTTCGCCCAA